AAAAACATACTGTTAAGCAGAAACCAAAAGATACAAAGTTTGTCAATATTTTCTAAATCAGTAGCTCAAAACACAAACACAACATTAACAATAATTTTGGCTAACCAAACCCAACCTATTTTTATAATTCAACAATCTACAAAAGAAACATTTAACATACTTTTAAAAAATCAAAGTACAACTCAATGCTAAAGAATCATGAATACTCACAAAAATTACTAAAAGGACAACTCAAAGCAATCAGTGAATGAGTAAATCTGTCAGAATTAATAATTGACCATGATCAAACACAACACTTCATTACATATAAGTTAAGCAAAAATCAATATACCTATAAACAAATTTTTCAAAACAGAAGTGTGCTAACCTTGGCCTTCTCCATTCGCTTTATACTCCCCACAGCATCAGTTTTCAAAACCATACCTCGAACTACTGTACAGTTATGCAAACCCCCACCCACAATCTTTGCAACACGTACATTATCCACATTAAAGTTTGCTGGGTTCTTGGGGCATACTTGTATGCATGCCTATATTGTCCAATAAAAAATCTACCATCAGAACTTGCTTAGTAACACATTATTGTTCTTTCTTTTCCTTTTCTTTTTCCTTTCTCCTAAATAGCTGAGCAGCTGACATAGAAATTAAGCAATAACAAATAAGGGTATGCACGTTATACTTACATCGGCAACAAGTGAGGATAAGATATCTTCTTGTCCAAACTGCTTGCTGGCAACAGCTGCCTTCATTCTAGAAACCACTTCTTCTTTGTTACGGACATCCATATTCTCAGAACCTGGCTCTACCAGTTTATCTAGAATTTCGATCGTCTGAAATATTCCAACAAGCGAGTAAATAATCAGAACGGAAGAATTCTAATAACCCAAATGAGTAACCAATCAGAAAATCATTGGCAAACCTTTTTGATGGCTTTATTGTACCCACTGATGATCTCACTTGGGTGCAGGCCCATCCTTATAAGCTCCTCTGCGTTTTGCAGGAGCTCCCCAGCAAAAGAAATGGTCAGATTAGCACC